CGTGCGTGTGTGTCGGGAGGGGGTGCGTGATCCGGCCACGCTGGGCACAAACAGCCGCAAGGTTCTGTGTGTGTGCTGCCGGCTACGGTGACCCCCGGCGCTTCGCCCTACGCGCTGGGTGCAGGGGGAATCCCCGGACTGGGCGCGGGCCGGTGACGCGGCCGCGGGAGGCCCGGGAAGGCTTACTTTGAGGAGGCAGCTGTTGAGAGGGGCGGGCACTGAGGTGCGGTGGATAACCAGGTCCTGACCATGGTTGTGCACGTCGCAGATGAGCTCCAGCACAGCGATGCTGCGGGCCGTGGACACGGACACGCGGTGGTCTTCGGACCAGGCCAGCGGCTCCAGGCCGCTCACCGCGTACTGCAGCTTCACGGCCGGCTCCCGCCGAGTCACCAGCAGGCGGAACGCGTCGCTGGGCCCGGGGGTCGCGTCCGCCCCCGGCTCCTTCCCGGCCGCCTCGCCCTCCTCCTCCTCCTCNCCGCTCGGCCCCGGCGCCCTCCGCGGCTATTTTCTCCCCTCAGGCCCAAAGCGCCGCCGAGCCAGGAAGGACCCCGTCGTTGCTAGGCGACCCAGCCCTGCCAGGTGGCCAAGACGCTGCCTGTCTAAAAAACGCGCCACCTCGACGGGCGGGACCGAAGTCCCCGGGCTTGGCCGCGCGGGTGGGCTGGGGGCCGGGAGCCTCAGACCCCATTAGTGACTTCCCCAGGGCCACTAAAGCAACCCGAAGGCAAACGAAAGAAATGTTGGTTAGATGGGCACGGCCTCTTCTTGTTCCTCAGAACGTCACAAGCATGAACTCAGGGGTTGAGTGCATCCGCTGCCACAGGCCGAGCTACTAGGGGTGCCAAGCGGGACGGCCACCCCGCCCCGTGGCCCCGGTCACCAGTGGAATGGGCCGTGTGAACGTTCGCGGGCCCCGCGGACCTCGGAAGGGGCGCGGCTGCAGGCCTCGGCGGGGCAGCTATGCGGGGTCCTCGCGCGCGTCCCACGTGAGCTGGAGCTGAGCCGCAGCCCGAGCTCTCGAGGCCCAGACGCGCCCCGTGTGCCCGCGTGTGCTAGTGTCTGCTCTCCGGCCATGGCAGTCACCGACGAAGTGCCCCTCAGCCTTCCCGAGGCCCCCGCCGGCGCCTCCGGGACGTCCTCCCGGGCCCGCGCGGCCCTGGCGAGGCGGGTGAGTTCTGGCCTGGCTGCAGGCCCGTCTGCTCCAGGCCCTGCCCGCGCGGCAGGCCCAGCGCCGCCGCCTTGCCTCTGGGCCTGGTTTGGAATAATTTCCG